GGGCTGCTGAGTTTTGTGCTTCGCGATTGCGTGAAGCGAGATGCGATCGCGTAGCTTTGATATTTTGTAACTCGCGAACGCATGAAGAAGGTCGTGTTCGCGTAGAGTAACGGAGCAGAAGTGGAGGTCACGCGTTTGCTCTAATTTGATCGCGTAGAGCTGGGAACTCTATGCTTTGTGATCGCGTAGGGATATCCGCGATCGCGTAGAGTTAATTTGGGCAGTGGAAATTTGTGCTTCGCGATCGCGTGTGAATGTTCGCAATCGCGTGTGGATGTTCGCGATCGCGAAGAGTAAAAGCCTGGGCAGAGAGTTTAAGTTCTGAAAATGGGACTTCGTCCAATTTTCTATTTTTAACGATTTGGAGCTCGGATTGAGGCAATATTTGGGAGATTTTCAGAGAAAACATCGGGCTAAATGTTCTTAACTCAATCTTAGTTAGATTACCCGAATCCATCACTGTTTTTAATAATTAATTGGTGATTTAAGTTAAAAAAATTTGAAAACCCTCTTGGATAGATTTGAGGATTTGAGGGTTGAATTGCTATCGGAATTTAGTCATTTTGGTATGGTTAGACTCGTGGTTGAATGGGCGTTCATATTTCGTAACTTTCACCAGATTCCGAGACGTGGGCCCCATGGGCAATTTTTGAGTTAATTTCGGATTTTTATTGAAAAATGTAGTATTTTCTTATGGAATTGATTCTATAATTTTTGTTGACTGTATCGAATTAATTATGACTAGATTCGAGTCGATCGGAGTCAGAAAATTGAGAAAAAGTCATACTACTTGGTTATATTGGAGCAAGTCGAGGTAAGTGACTTGTCGAACCTTGTGGGAAAAACTTTCCCTAGGATTGGTATTGAAGTGATAAAGTGAAATGTATTGAAAGTCGTGTACACGAGGTGATGAGTGTGTACACGTGCTAAATGTGAAAGATTATGTCTTTAAATTGTGTAGATCGTTGTTGCATATTAATTAAAAAAAATTACCTAGTTATATTTTTCATCATTGATTTAAATGTTTATACTTTAAATTTGCTTGACCTTTTCTTGCTAATTGTTTTACCTGTTTAGTTGAAACTTGGTTTCTTTTATTCTGTGCATTATTTGAAGAGTGATTTTCTTTAAATTAAATATTATTAATATGAATTATTTGACATTTTAAATTTTGTATTGAAGCAACGTATTAAAATTTTGAAATATTATTTTGTTGAGTTATTTATTCCTGAATATTTTGTGAGATTTTCGTACTCATTGTGATGGAGTCGTGAGCTCTTTATTGTGGAAAAATATTATTGTTGAATTATTTTGGTATGATTCGTGAGCTCTTTATTATGGAAAAGTATTGTTGTTGATTTATTTTGGAAAATTGAAATATTGGGCACTTGAGGTAAAAATTGTGATATACTGTGATATTGATACGCATGCAGTGGTATAAGGTCTGGGTAGTGAAACGCATGCGGTGAGATAAGGGTGGTTTGATACGCGTGGCTAGTAGGAAAAACTACTAGAAGTCATGCGGTGTGATAAGGGTGGCTAAAACGTGGGATGCTATTTCGGGAAAAATATTTTCTTTAAAATAAACTGTGAAGGCTCCCACGGTGGTATAAGAAAATGAGATATTGTGAATTTATTTATGATTTGAGACTATGAGGCGGCACCTCGGGAGTGCCCTTGTTGATATTGATTTATGGCCGCAGTTGCCTTTGATTATTGTTGTGATTTTTCTTAAAGTTGAAAAGAATTGTGTTTTGTTTTCGGGAGGTATTAATTGCCATTATTTGGTGTAATTAAATGGTGACATACTACTTGACTCATTTCCATTGTCATTTTATCTTATTATATTGTTAAACATTTTACCATGTCATTATTTATCTTTTCAGTAGGGGTTGATCTGACCTCGTCACTACTTTACCAAGGTTAGGCTTGGCACTTACTGGGTACCGCTGTGGTATACTCATACTACTTTTTTGCACATCATTTTGTGCAGATCCAGGTACATCTTACCAGCCCAGAAGTCAGTGAGTTACCGGTGTACGGAGACTTAGAGGTATATCTGCCAGCGTCCACAGACTCTGGAGTCCCCTTCTATCATTATCATGTTGCTTTCTTATTTTCTTTAGACCTTGATATGCATAGAGACATTGAGGATAAATTTTTGGAAGCTTGTGACTTATTTCCACCGGGTTTTGAGAGTTGTAATTATTTGATTTGTAGTTTATTTATTTCAGACATCTATTAGTATTCCGCATTGATAGGCTTACCTAGTCTTAAAGACTAGGTGCCATCACAACCTTCTACATAGGGAATTTGGGGTCGTGACAATAACATATCAAACAGAAAATAATTATTTTAATGATATTTTAGTAAAGTTACTCATGTATTAATTTGGACTAAAAATTAGTTCAACTTTAGATGGACTGAAATGAAGGTTAAGATTAGCTAAGTTCCACAAATGACCGAGTCAATGGAAAGTCCAACCTTGGATAGATTTGACTCAAATTTCCACCTCTATGCACAAATCAAGTTATATTATGATGGCAGAGAGATACTGTCCCCCTCAGATTTTTTGTAACTACGTCCATTTGGCCATAAAATAATTTGTTTTCTTTTAAAATCAGTATTTGTGCATGAAAATTTTAAATTTCACTTGAAATTGAATTTTGAAATTTTTCGCAAATTTGAAAAACTCCAAAAAACTATTTTTCAAATTTTTTACTTCAAAACTCACAAAAATTCAAATACAACTCAAAGTTGTATTCATGTCCAAACACAACTCTAATTTTCAATTACAATTTTTATTTGAATATTGTTTTACTTCTTTTCGAAATTTCACAATTCTTATGTCCAAGCGCCCACTTAATTTAGTGAACATCCTACAATCACTAGAGACTTAGATGAGCAGACATAATATATGTTACTTCAATATATATATATATACCCTTGGGTAGGGGTGCTACTTACGAAACAAATCCAATTTACTACTTACAACATTAACAATATATTAGTAAAAAAAATAGAATAATTTAGTAGTGAAAATAGGCCCTTGCGATAAGGTTTAAAGTGCAATATTTTTATTTTTGAAAATACACTTCATAATTGTTTTTAATGAAATACAATGTCAAAATGTTAACATAAGGTGATATAACCCTTCTTGAATAATCAACACATTAAAGCAACTTCCTACCAAAATTATACTTTTTATTCAACATCATTGGTTGCTCATATTGTACATAAATTTTAAAATAGCAAGTAAAAATAAAATAAAAATAAATAAATAAAACTAGTCTTCTTCTTTGTACATTTTTACAAGACAAAGTGTAAATTCAGAATATTACAATACTTGAGTTATTAACACACCCTAAAACAACAAAATAAGTTACCAAATTCAAGTTACAAGATTTTGGTCTTAATATCCAACAAGCCTCCAAATAACATACATAAGTGTGACATATATATCATGTACATGTCCCAAAACTATACAAAACCAAGGTTCATAGGCAAATGTGATCTCCATAAGTGCTCCCAAAAAGACTAATTCATAAGGCCGTCTTCAAATTTCATCCCGTACATTTCCTAGTTCGTACTTAATCCAAAGTCAAAATGGCAAAAGATCCAAATCAAGAGGCATGCCAAGATCAAGAAAGACAAATTCCCAACAAGAATGCAAAATGATCAAACAATCCGTACGAGCGGGGGAATTAGCAAATATATTGCAATACTTGATATAACACGAATACAATGCTATTAATTGAAGACAAGAAAAAAAAATATTAGGTTATTTAAAAATATTCTAGTAAGTAAAAAGAGTACATATTTTATACACAAACCTTAGTGTTTTACCACAAAATAGTTCAACCACAACTTGAGACGTTCGAATCGTCTACGCCATAGACAAATCAAATCCGTCCACCTCCTCAAACACTTCCCATTAGATTTTACAAGGGTATATATACCTTAAATACATAATCAAATATCTATATAAGTTCAGTGAGTTAACATGTTAAACTAAACATGATATTGGTGAAAATTACCCAAAATATTTGAAATAAAAATTCTGGACAGTATCACTGTCTCATGTTGTGACTCAGATTTAAAGATGAAAAAGGACAAACTAGATTATGTGGTCATCTTTACAGTTGTATATATGTGTCTTAGCGTTTCATAACATCTTGAATCACCCCCATATTATTTTTTTACAAAAGGTTATGCTAAAATTACTAACAGTAGTACAGGCAGGGTTTGTAAAACAGAAAATCTGGGCAGCACCTGCCCTGTACTTCATCACCTATTTTCGGGTAAATAAAAGACAACTCAGGTTTGGTTCCTTCATAAGAGCTATAGATCTATGAAATATATTTCCATAAAGTCTTGGATCACTTAAAACGGAGCTCTATATAAAAAGATATGAAGAAAACACTAATAGTTGTCTAGTATAAAAACAGGTTTAGTAACTTACCACAAAAGAGAGGAGCAACTTGAGCTTCACCAAAAACGAATTTTGCTGCTTGGTTTAGTGAAAATTTATGATGATTTTCATAAAGTTTTTCAGGTGATAAGAAGGAGAGAGGGTAGGGGATTTCTTTGTCTTGAAAGAATAAAATATGAGAGGAGTTTATGGAAAAGCAAATCAATCAAAGTAATCTTTAAGAATTTTGGACAAATATGAGTTAAAAGTGGCTGCCCAACTACTAAATATCTTTAGATAAATACAAAAGGGTGGCAGCCCAAAACCTTAGATATCTAATATATTTAAAATAATTCATCAAAATAATATTAAGTATTACACATAGCAACACCATGAGCTTCTTTGTCAATATTAACACAACCTAAAGTAAGGAATTTTCATATATTGTAAATTTTACGTTTAGGAAGTGCGAAGTAAAATATCTCCTCATTATAAAGATTCTCAATCGAGAATGCAAATATTAGTAAAATTTTAGGGTGTTACAACTCTCTCCCCCTTAAACAAATTTTGTCCCGAAATTTACCTTGCACTAGTCCCGAAACAAATGTGGATATTGAACTCGCATGTCCTCTTTTCGCTCCCAAGTAGCTTCTTCGCCAGAATGATTTTTCCAAAGAACTTTCACTAAGGGGGTGCTCTTGTTTCTAAGCTCTTTTAACTCACACGCTAAGATTTGGATTGGTTTTTCTCCATATGTAAAATTAGGATTGACCTCAATAGATTCAATAGGAAGAACATGAGATGGATCTGAGCGGTATCTTCTAAGCAGTGAAACATGAAAGACGTTGTGGATCTTGTCTAACTCTAGTGGAAGAGCTAGTTTATAAGCAACTGGACCAACTCTCTCAAGCACTTCATAAGGTCCAATAAATTGAGGACTAAGTTTACCTTTTTGGCCAAATCTCATAATCTTCTTCCATGGAGGAACTTTTAAAAATACCTTATCCCCCGCTTTATACTCAATTTCACGCCTCTTAAGATCAGCATAAGACTTTTGTCTGTCTAAGGCAATTTTTAAGCGATCATTGATGATTGTTTCCTTACTTTTAGCTTGTTGCACAATATCAGGACCCACCAATTTTCTTTCATCAACCTCGTTCCAACAAAGAGGCGTTCTACATTTTCTCCCATATAAAACTTCATAAAGAGGCATGCCTATACTTGATTGGTAGCTATTATTGTAATCATATTCTATCAGGGCTAAGTGTTTGTCCTAACTACCCTCAAACTCAATAATGCAGGCTCGAAGCATATCCTCTAAGATTTGTATTACCCTCTCAGACTGGTCGTTTGTTTGTGGATGGAAAGCAGTACTGAAATTCAACCCGGAACCCAAAGCTTCTTGCAAACTAGACCAAAATCTGGATCTCTGTCAAACACAATAGAAACCGGGATTCCATGCAGCCTCACAATCTCATTAATGTATAATTCTGCCAAACGTTCTAGTGATAGTCCATTCTGATTGCCAAGAAATGAGCACTCTTAGTTAGTCTATCTACAATGACCCAAATTGCATCATGATTCCTTTGAGTGCGTGGAAGTCCAGAAACAAAGTCCATCGTTATCCTTTCTAATTTCCACTCAGGCATCGACAAGGGTTGTAGTAGACCAACTGGGACTTGATGTTCAGCTTTTATTTGTTACCATACCAAGCATTTAGAAATGAACTTTGCAATGTCTTTCTTCATACCACTCCACTAGTAGTGCTCATTGATGGTCCGGTACATTTTAGTACCTCCAGGATGCATTGCATAAGGTGGACTATGTGCTTTAATCAAGATCTTATTCCTCAATTCATCATCATTAGGAACGCACAACCTATTTTTATAAAATAAGGTATCATCTTTCTTCAATGTAAAATCCGATTCTCTTCCATTTTGGACTTCTTCAACCCGTTTCACAAGCTTCTCCTCTAACTTTTGCGCTTCTTGGACTTGCTCAAGTAAGACTGGCTTGACTTCAAAATTAGCAATGATAGAACCATTAGAATTAAATGAAATACAAGCATTCATGTCTCTTAATTCAAGAAGAAAAGGCAAAGGACTTAGAGTTAAACTTGCAAGGAAATTGCGACTCAACGCATCTGCAACCACATTGGCTTTACCAGGATGATAATCAATCGTGCAATCATAATCTTTGATGAGTTCAAGCGATCTACGTTGTCTCAAGTTTAAATCTTTTTGTATAGCCAAGTATTTCAAACTCTTGTGATCAGTAAATATATAAGACTTATTCCCGTACAAGTAATGCCTCCAAATTTTCAAGGCAAGAACAATGACAGTAAGTTCAAGATCGTGAGTGGGATAATTCAACTCATGTGATTTCAACTTTCAAGAGGCATACACAATTACGTTCCCTTCTTGCATCAAAACACAACTCAAGCCACGGTGAGATGTATCACTTATACCACATAATCTTGCCCTTCAGCTGGCAAAGAAAGTATTAGAGCTTGTGTCAACAAGGATTTGAGATTTTCAAATCTATCTTGACACTTGTCATCCCACACAAATTTGGCGTCTTTCCCCAAAAGTTTGGTCAAAGGAGAAGTTATAATAGAGAAGCCCTTCACGAACCTCCTATAGTATCCTGCTAAACCCAAGAAACTTCTAATCTCAGTTGGAGTTTTAGGAGGTTTATAATCAACAATAGCTTGAATATTATTAGGATCAACCTTCACACCTTCAGCTGATGCAATATGCCTCAAAAACGCCACTTCACTCAGCCAAAATTCACATTTGGAAAGCTTCGCATAGAGTTGCCTCTCTTTTAGAATTTTCATGACAATTTGGAGATGATAATCATGATCTTATCTATTCTTGGAATAGACTAAAATATCATCAATAAAGACCATCACAAATTGATCAAGGTAAGGCTTGAATACACGGTTCATTAGATCCATAAATGCAATAAGAGCATTTGTCAAACCAAATGGCATTACCAAAAATTCAGAATGGCCATACTTGGTCCTAAAAGAAATATTAGGAATATCTTCCTCCCTCACACGCAACTGATAATATCCAGACCTCAAGTCAAATTTTGAGAACAAGTTGGCCTTCAGTTGGTCAAACAAGTCATCGATTCTAGGCAGTGGGTATTTGTTTTTGATTGTTACCTTGTTCAGCTGTCGGTAATCAATGCAAAGCCTAAGAGTGCCATCTTTATTTTTCACAAATAAATTAGGAGCTCCCCAAGGCAAAATACCGGGACGGATAAAACCATTCTTAAGAAGTTTTTGTAATTGAGCCTTCAACTCTTTTAATTCAGCTGGAGCCATTCTATAAGGAGCGATAGAAATATGAGTAGTTCCAGGGACAAGCTCTATAGGAAATTCAATCTCCCTTTCTGGAGGCAACCCAAGAAGATCATCAGGAAATACATCAGGAAAGTCACACACTGTTGGTATGTCCTTAAGACTTGGACTCCCCAATCGTGTATCGACTATATGAGCAAGATAGGCATCACAACCGTGACAAATCATATTCCTTGCCAAGATCGCAGAAATAATATTATATGTCAATGATCTTTCTCCTTGAACTACTATGTGTGAGTATGCAGGAGTTCTAAAAGTCACTTTCATCAACCTACAATCAACCGTTGCATGGTGCCTATGAAGCATATCCATACCAACAATAACATCATAGTCTAGGAAGAGCATTTTAAGCAAGTCTGTAGGGAAGAGCAGATTTTGAATCATGAATGGACAATCTCGGTAAATCCTGTTAACAATAGCCTAATGACCTAATGGAATCGTGACCAGTACATCAAAGTAAAGTCTCACAGATTTAACAGTATCAGGAAATGTAAGTGATGAGAAAACATAAGATTGAAAGGATCCAGGATCAAATAATGTAACAACAGATATACCAAATAAGTGAAATTTACATACAACCACGCCCGGGACATCGTGGTCATTCTTCTATCTCATAGCATAGACTCCTACAGTAGATATCGACCCACTAGCCCGATTAGCTCCCCCTCGAACCCGCCGCTTACATATTTCTAGGTCTTGCACTGCTATTAGCTTGAGAATGAGTAGTGATAGGCTTTTGAACTGAGCCTCTTGTATGTGTATAAGAAAGAGGATTAGGATTAGGACAATCCTTCATTTTATGATCCAGACTTCCACAATTAAAACAAGCACCAGAAGCTCTTATGTACGCACCATAGTGATTCTTTCCGCACTATGCACAAATAGGTGTATAAGTTTTGCCTTGGCCATAACTTGGAGTACTAGAAGTAGAGAAATTTGTCTTATTCTGCTTATGATATGATGACTTTTGTGCACTTTCAGTCTTGGAATAGTCAAACTTTCCCATCTAGGACAGACCTGTAATGACCCGGCTGGTCATTTTGAGAGTAATAGCCCCGATCCCCTATTAACTGCTTTCCCCAAATCTTTTTCTGCTATTGTGACTTGCCGGGATGATTGATTTTGAGTTTTGAAGTGTTTTGGGACACAGTCCCTAAATGAGAGCTTAAGCCCTAGGATTTGGACCGTAGTCGGAACTATGTGAAAAAAACTTCGGAATGGAATTTTGTCAGTTCCGGTAGCTCCGTTAGGTGATTTTGGGTTCAGGAGCGTGTTCGGATTGTGTTTTGGAGATTCGTAGCTCATTTAGGCTTGAAATCGCGAATTTTTGGAGTTTTGGGCCGGTAGTGGAATTTTTGATATCGGGTCATTTTCCAATTTTTAAAGTTGGAGTAGGTCCGTAATGTTGATTATAACTTGTGCGCAAAATTTGAGGTCAATCGGACGTGATTTGATAGGTTTCGACATCTGTTGTAGAATTTTGAAGTTTCAAGTTCTTTATGTTTGAATTGGAGGGTGATTCGTGATTTTTGCGTTGTTTAATGGGATTTGAGAGCTCGACTAAGTTGGTATGGTGTTTTAGTATTGGTTTGTATGTTTGGTCGAGGTCCCGGGGGCCTCGGGTGTATTTCGGATGCTTAACGGGTGAAAGCTTGGACTTAGAGGAATTTCTGATTTTTGTTGGTTCTGGTGTTTTCTCACCTGCGGTGGGGAGTCCGCAGGTGCGGCCTCGCAGAAGCGTGGCTTGCAGGCGCAGATGCGAGAAAGTCAAGAGTTGGCCTGGGGTCGCAGATGCGAGGAAGTGCTGCATCTGTTATGCCCGCAAATGCACAAGGTTGTTCGCAAATGCGCAAGATGCGCATAAGCGAAAGGGATGTTCGCAGGCGCGCGCGCGCAGGTGCGGCCCTTTTTGTCGCAGGTGCGAAGGCAGAGGGGGTAAGTGAGTTGTGCATATGCGCACGTTTTTCGCACAAGCGCACCCGCAGGTGCGAGCCCAAGTTCCGCAGGTGCGGAAATACCTGGGCAGTGATTAAAACCGAAGGGCTTCGCGATTTTTATCATTTTTGGCTTTGCAAACTCGGGTTAGGGCAATATTTGAGAGAATTTTCGAGGCATTTCTTGAGGTAAGTTCCTTGTGCTTATTTTTGATCAATAATATTGCCTTGCCATGTGTTTTCCCACCTAGTTAATGTGTATTTAAGGTGGAAATTGGAAGTTGGAGGGTAGGGATTTGGAAGTTTGAATTGTGGATTGGAGGACCATTTGGTGTCGGATTTTAGTAAATCTGATATGGTTAGACTCGTGAGTGAATGCGGTTTCTTGTGGGATTCATTCCATTAGCGTGTATTGATGGTATTGTACTGTTTTGAATAGATTCGGTCCATTTGGAGTCAGATACTCGTGGCAAGAACGTGATATCGAGTTGATTTGAGCGATTCGAGGTAAGTGGCTTGCCTAACCTTGTGTTGGGGACTTCCCCCTTAGGATATCTTGATATTATTTGGTGTGGGGGCGCCGTGTATGTGAGATGACGAGTACGTACACGGGCTATAATTGCAAAAATCTTGTTTAACCTTTTTAAACCATAAATTGCTTCTCTTATTAAGTTGTACTAATATGTTTAATTGTGTAGTTTAGACTAGAAAAGCATGCTTACGTGTTTTAACTGCCTAATTGACATTCTGTGCGTCATGTTTAGCTAAGTCCTTATTTGCCTTATCTGGGTCCAGTATAAACTATATAACTTGATGTCATACCTGTCATTTCATCTTGCGTTGCATATTTACTTTGGGACTACAGACGTATTCCGGGAGATCCCCCAGTACTGCATATTTACTTTGGGACTACGGACGTATTCCGGGAGATCCCCTTGTACTGCATATTTACTTTGGAACTACGGACGTATTCCGGGAGATCCCCCAACACTGCATATTTACTTTGGGACTACGGACGTATTCCGGGAGATACCCATATACTGCATATTCATTTGAAACTATGGGACGGTATCCCGAGAGATTTCCCACTGTGTTTACCTTATTTTGAGCCGAGGGCTCCCTTAACTGTTAAATTTTCAAAAATTTCTTTAACTGTGTTACTGTAAATTCTACTTATATCTTTTACTGTTTAATTTATTATATTTACTCTAGTAGGGCCTTGACCTGACCTCGTCACTACTCGACCGAGGTTAGGCTTGGCACTTACTGGTTACCATTGTGGTGTACTCATGCCCTTCCCTGCACATGTTTTCGTGTGCAAATCCAGGTGCGAGCTATCAGCCTCGGGGTTAGTACGTGTTGTTGATTCTATGAGACTTCAAGGTACTTCTGCTTGCGTCCGCAGATCTTCGGAGTCCCCTTCTACTCCCTCGCCTAGATACTTTCTTTATTATCCTCAGACTTTTGTATAGAGCTACATAGATTATAGAAGCTTGTGACTTAGTGATATTCCAGGTCTTGGGAAAACTATTTTGTATATGCCGAGTGGTGCTACTCTTGGCTATTTATAATATGATGTTTACCTTTAAAATGTTGTGTTTTCTTTATATTTTTTGCAATATTAGGCTTACCTAGTCGTAAAGACTAGGTGCCATCACGGCCCCTTACGGAGGGATAATTTGGGTTGTGACAAGACCGCTATAATCTGAATTACCCTTCCTAAACCTGTTTTCTCTCCTACTAGCTTCTTACTTGTCAATTTTTTCCCAAGTAAGAGCAGCTGAAATTAGCTTGGAAAAATCCTCAAGTTGCAAGATTGCCACAGATTTTCGAATGTAACCATTCAAACCTTCTTCAAATCTTTTGCACTTGTCTCTTTCACCATCAATAATATCTCCAGCATAGCGAGAAAGCCAGAGAAATTTTTGTTGATACTCTGCAATAGACATACTCCCTTGTCTTAAATTCAGAAACTCTTTTTTCTTAGCATCACAATAGACATGGGGGCCATATTTCGCACGAAATGCTTTCACAAAGTCATCCCAAGTCAGCACCGAAGGTTTTGCTTTTGCATTAGGCACACTTACCCACCAATCATATGCATCTTTTTATAAAAGAGAGATAACATACTTAAATTTGGAAGCATTAGTACACTCTAGTTGTTCAAATACCCTCTCCATGTGCTCGAGCCATTGTTCAGCTATCGTGGGATAAGTAGTGCCTTCAAATTCAACTCCACCCATTTTTCTCATCTTCTCAAAATTCATTTCACTAGGTTCTGACCTTGTCCCAGCCAAGTGACGAAAGAACTCAGCCATCTGCTGAAATGGAGTAGTCATAATATGAATACTATGACCTATTGCTCTTGTATTACTACCACCTTCATTTTCACTAACACGAGGATGATTTAGGTTAGGTAAGGGTTTATCATCTGTAGGTAAGGTGGAGCATTATAATGGGTACGCATTATACTCTCAAAGTCTTTTTCAAGAAAGAAAATAACAGCAAATATTAGGTACGATCACAACAAAAATCCTAGAATCACAAACCTAGCCTCTGATACTAAAACTTGTAGAAACCCCTTTGGGAGGTGCTACTTACGAAACAAATCTAATTTACTACTTACAACATTAAGAATATATCAGTAAAAAAATAGAATAATTTAGTAGTGAAAATAGGTCCATGCGATTAGGTTCAAAGTGCAACATTTTAATTTTTGAAAATACACTTCATAATTTATTTTTAATGAAATACAATGTCAAAATGTTAACATAAGATGATATAACCCTTCTTGAATAATCAACATATTAAAGCAACTTCCTAACAAAATTATACTTTTTGTTCAACGTCACTGCATGTTCATATTGTACATAAATTTCAAACCAGCAAGTAAACATAAAATAAAAATAAATAAATAAAACTAGTCTTCTCCTTTGTACATTTTTACAAGACAAAGTGTAAATTCAATATATTACAAGACTTGAGTTATTAACACACCCTAAAACAGCAAAACAAGTTACCAAATTCAAGTCACAAGATTTTGGTCTTAATATCAATCAAGCCTCCAAATAACATACATAAGTGTGATATATATATATCATGTACATGTCCCAAAACTATACAAAACCAAGGTGCATATGCAAATGTGATATCCATAAGTGCTCCCAAAAAACAACTTCATAAGGTCATCTTCAAATTTCATCTCGTACATTACCTACGATAGAAAACAACTATCGCTAAGCATAAAGCTTAGTGGCTTATAAACTTTGGGCTTGGAGCCATTAACTTCTCCAATTCCCATTTTTTGTCATAGGTAGCGCAAATGAAACATAATTTAAAACAAGTGAACAAATATATCAAAAATATCAAATATCAACCCTTGAAGTGTTTCCAAATATCAATAACAATGTTCAAGAATCAAGAGTTGAGAAAGCGTATACTATCAATCCAAGAGAGTTTGTCAAATATTCATTTTTTGCCCAATATGTATTTCATACCATCACACTAAGTAAAATCAGATATCAAGATGGACTGAAGCCCCAAATCAAGTAAGATCCAAACCCAATAGTCAAGATAATCAAGAACCATATTAAAAATAGTTTCCTAGTTTGTACTTAACACGGACAAGTTCCATAATTTAAGATGAACTACAAATTCAAAGTCAAGATGGCAAAATATCCAAATCAATAGGCATGCCAAGATGAGCGACAAAGTCACTTTCACAAGAAGGAAAAAGTCCCAACAAGAATGTAAAATTATCAAATAATCTGTGCGAGTGGGTGATTTAGCAAATATCTTGCAATACTTGATATAACACGAATACAATGTTATTAATTGAAGACAGGAAAATTAAAATATCAGGTTATTTCAAAATATTTCATCAAGTAAAAAGAGTACAAAGTTTATACACAAACCTTGGTGTTTTACCACAAAATAGTTCAACCACAACGTGAGGACGTTCGAATCATCTACTCCATAGACAAACCAAATCCGTCCACTTTCTCAAACACTTCCCCTTAGATTTTACAAGGGTATATATACCTTAAATACATAATCAAATATCTATGTAAGTTCAGTGATTTAACATGTCAAACTAAACATAATATTGGTGAAAATTACCCAAAATGTTTGCAATAGAAATTCTGGACAGTATCATTGTCTCGTGTTGTGATTCAGATTTGAAGATGAAAAAGGACAAACTAGACTGTGTGTTCTTTACAGTTGCATATATGTGTCTTAGCGTTTCATAACATCTTGAATCACCCTCATCTCAATTTTGTACAAAAGGTTATGCTACAATTACTAACAGTAGTACAAGGACGGTTTGTAAAACAGAAAGTTTGGGCTGCACCTGTGTAATGACCCGACTTGTCATTTTAAGAATTAATGCCCCGCTCAGTGGCTTAAGTTCTCGAAAAGCTTCACAATATATATTATGACCCGCGGGTGTGGTCGAGTTTGATTTAATGAAGATTCGGAATTTAGTTAAAAGAACAATTCTTATTTAGAAGCTTAAATGGAAAGAGTTGACCGGAGAGATTACTTTTGAGAAAACGGCCCCGAAATAGAATTTCGAGGATGGTAATAACTTTGTATGATGAATTCGGACTTAGGCGTGTGTTCAGATTTGGATTTGGAAGTCCGTAGGGCAATTCGACACATTTTGGCGAAAGTTGGAAAATATAAGTTTTTGGAAAAGTCCGACCGAAGGGTGAATTTTTTATAACGAGGCCGGATTTCAATTCTGGGAATAGGAATAGATCCATTAAGTTATTTATGACTTGTGTGCAAAATTTAAAGTCATTCCGGATTGATTTGATACGTTTCGGTGCAAAACATAGAAGTTGAGAGATTTGTAAAATTAAGGAAATTGGGAATTTGGCCATGGTCAATATCGGGTCAAGATGACCTATTTTCAGTATTTTGAGTACGCGAGCAGGTCCGTCGCGTGTGTTATGATTGAAATTCATATATGGTTTGTGTCCGGGAGGTTCCGGATGAGTTTCGGGATGAGTTTTGAGTGAGTCCGGGCATTTCGGCACTCTAATATTGTTCTGGCACTTTACGGGACGCGGACAGCGCATTTTTGGGCACTGAGGCGAAGGAGGGACACGGACCGCGCATTTTTGGGTGCTGAGGTGAAGGAGGGACGCGGTCAGTCGCAGAAATTTCGCGGCCGCGCTCAAATATTCGCGGACCGCGCAATTCTGTCCATGGTCGTGCTCCAGGATGTTCTGCAGTCCGTTGGTTCGACTTTGAATGCCTATATCTTTTGATCCATAAGGGAAATTTTAGGTGATTTAAAAGCGAAATAGTAGCTCTTCGTGTCTAGTTTCCAGAAAAGTAAAGAAGTAATCATTTGGACATATGTAGAGAAAGTTAAGGCCAAAATACTAAAGTCAGGCAGTGTAGCCTCAAGAATTTCGCGGACCGCACCAAAATTTCGCGACCGCGGGACCTGGGGCACGGCCGCGGTTGGAATTCCGTGGACCGCAAAGTGGAGTTCAGAGGGTGGACTATATAAACGGGGTTTAGGACATTATTTCACATTTTGGACCTAGGGAGCTCGGTTTGTGGCGATTGTTCGTGGGATTTTCAAGAAATTCATTGGAGTAAGTGATTCTAACTCAGATTGGGTTAATATAGATGAATATATCACTGATTTCATCATTTAATTAGTACTTTGAGATAAAAATTTGGGGAAAGATTGTAGAAACTTCATAAACCACAAATTTAAAATTTGAAGGTCCATTTGACATCGGAATTTGATAATTTTAGTATGGTTGAACTGGTATCGGAATGGGTGATCAGATTTCGTGAAAATTATGTCGGGTTGCGAGAGGCGGGTCCCACGTTGACTTTTGCTGACTTTTTGGAATAAAATTCTAAGTCGACGTATTATTATCCGGAATTGTTTCCAATGAATTTTAATGAAGTTATGCAATTAATTTGGATAGATTTGAGTGGTCCGGAGGTCAATTAAAGCAAGAAGGCGATTTTGGAATATCGGCATAACTTCAAAAAGGTAAGTGTCTTGCTTAACCTCGAGTGGGGGAATTACCCCTTAGGCATCGAGTCTTATGTGCTATTTGTGAAATGTGAAAAGTTGTGTACGCGAGGTGACGAGTACATACTCGGGCTTATATGTGTAAATTTTATCGAGTTAAAGTCTTGAGCATATTGTGTGGTAAATTGGACAATTATTGGAATTTAATTTCATTATGGATTTTCCCCTTTGCAAATAATTAATTAAATGAGCTTAAGAAGAGGTGTTTATATAATTATTGAAAAATATTAATTTAATAAAGACTTTGCTTTATGTTGAGTAATTTCTGTCTCTAATGATTGTTTTTGGGTGTTGTGCACATTATGTCGAGCCATGAGCTCCTTATTGCGGAAAATAATGTATTGTTGATTTCTGTGGCAAGTTGAAATATTTGGGCACTTGATTTGCAATTTGTGATATGTTGTAAGATTTGAGCACTTGATGTGCAATCTCTGATATGTTGTAAGATTTGAGCACTTGATGTGCAATTTGTGAAATGTTGTAATATTTGGGCACTTGAGGTGCAAGTTGTATTATGTTGTGTGATATTTGGGCACTTGAGGTGCGATTTGTGAAATATTGTGATATTGATACGCATGTGGTGAGATAAGGGTGGTTTGAAACGCGTGGCTAGTAGGGGAACTACTAGAAGTCATGTGGTGTGATAAGGGTGGCTAAAAACGCGGGATGCTATTTCGGAAAAAATAATTTCATTAAAATTAAATGTGAAGGCTCCCGCAGTGATATAAGAAAATGAGATATTGTGAATTTAATTATGATTTGGAACTACGAGGCGGTACCTCGGGAATGCCCTTTAGTTGATATTTTTCTATGGCTGCACTTGCTTTTGGTTATTTTATTTTTTCGAAATTTATAAATTCTTGTGTTTTCCGTGATGTATTATTTCACCTAATATTAAGTGTTTTGTATTTCTTGAGGTATTGTGTTGACCTCGACTTTTTCGTACGAGACTTTGAGGATTTGTATTTTTGGGTTGTACTTGTTTTGATGATTGAGTTGTTTTAAATAAAAAAAAATTCCTAATATGTTTTAATTTAATAAAGTTTATATCCAAATCAGTAGTTTATCTGATGTTTCATTTTATTTGAAATGTTATTTTCTCCACCCAAATGATTCTAAAATAAATTCATTCATTTATTGATTTCTTACTTGATTTAAATATTTTAACCTTACTTTATTGAAAAATAAATTGACCATGTGGATCTTATATACATTGAGGATATAGGTACATGAGTTGTCTGTGCAGTTGAGATATGAAATGAGGGCACGAGG